CTTCCTTCCTTTCCTTTCCTCCTTTCAGAGATTCCATCTCAGAATCGAGGAATCTCTACTTGGAGAATATCGAATCCATCGAAATAATTCTCTCTTCGAAAAAAAACTACTTGGAACTCGCCTGAAAATAATAAATCTCGAAAAGATCGAAAGCGTCGTAGCTGTTCTCCCGAACGGGGAGGGGAGGAGGAATAATTCTGCTTGGAAAATTTTCCAACGAGGGGGGGTCTCCTCCCTCCCCCCCACACTGGTCGTGCTTCCCATTTTATTACCATTCTTGTTCTTGTATCGGTGGCCGATCGAGAGGGGTCCCTTCGGTGTTGCGTCACCGATGACCTTGATCATCGGCCGCATGCGCTGCGATCGATAAACGATTTCGTGCCACTTGATCGCCGAACTGGTTGGGGATCGGTGTCGCGCTTCGAAACCTCGCGGATCCAACGACGAGCCTCTCCAATTAACGCCAGGTCGTCCCTCGATCGTGTTGCGCGAGTGAGTTTTCTTCCCTTGCTTGTTCATCCACCGACGGAAGAAAGGAAGGGAACGGTTCTTTTTTCGGTTCGAGCGAATCAAATTTTTCCACTCGTGAAATGGAATTCCCTTCCCCTCTTTCGTTAAGCTTTCGATCGAGGACCGTTCTTAACGAGTAGATAGACCCGTTTCGAAGAAGAAAAGGAAAAAAATCGTATTTATCCGTATCTAATCGTATCTAAACGAGATAAACGAGTCGAGGCAACCGGGTTCCGCGGTTTTCGCGCCTTCTCGAATTTCCGATACTCCTCTTCCTTCCCTCGTGTACTTTTTCGAGATCCTTTTTTTTTTGACGTCAACAAGTCAAAGAACAGGAAAACGAGACGAAAACGATCTTTCTCATATATATATATATATACATATACATATATATATCTTCCCTTTTTTTTTTCTCTCTCCTCTTGTTGCAGAAGGCGGTGGCGGCGGCGACGACGACGACGACGACGACGGGGTCACAGGAAGAGAGAGAGAGACGCGACACACGCTTCCTGGCAACGTTATCCTCGAAAACGAACCACCTATGACCTCCCCCCGGAGTGGAGGAGGAGGCCTGACTAGGACCACGCTTCCGGCAGAGGGGCACCGTTTCTGGCACCGTTCCTAAAAAAAAAAGAAATCCTCCTCCTTAATTCCCCCTCCTCCCTCCCGCCTCCACCCTCCCTCCCTCCCCGCCTGCCCTTGGACAGCCGTTGGAGGAGCAGCGCACGAGGAGGAGGAGGAGGATCCCCCTCGTCGACCCCCTCCCTTTCCCCCCCTTCCTTCCCCTCCCTCTCCCCCGCCCCCCCTCCCCTCGTATCGCGACACAGGACTCGGGCAGGATGGACATGAGCAGCGAGTCGAGCGCGGCCAGGTGGTACGAGCCCCCGAGATCCACCCTGGAGCCGCCCTCGGGGGGTGCAGGAGTCGCGGGAGTCGTCGCCAATCCGACCGATTACAGGGGTTACTACCCCCACGCTGGGCCGACCGCCCATCACCCGGCAGCCGCCGCTCACTATGCCCACAGTAAGTTGAAAATTTAATATTTTTCTTTCCCTCGTTCAATTTCTCAACTCGAACTTTTGTCGTTGCTCCGGTGATTTTTTTTTTTCGTCGAAACGGGGAAACGTTACTTGAGCGTTAGTATATTCGTTTATATATATATATATATATCTTTTGAGAGAAGTGTGTATGTTTTTTTTAGGTTAGGTTTCGCTTCGCGATAATTGGTGCGAGGTATTGATAGTTATAAAATAGTTTTTTTGGATAGGAGAAATATATATATATATATATATATATATATATGTGTGTTTTGTATTGTTGGAATTTTGACGAGTGAAATACTGAAAGATTGGCGGCACGAAACGTGGAAGCAGGTCGAACGTGATTTGTCGTCCATTTTCAACCGAGTCTAACTTGACCTAAGCGCCGCTGACGACAAGGATGCGAAGTACTGAAGCTGATTATCGGCGCGATGGAAGCACGTTACGTTGTTGTTTGGTAAAGGATGGAAATTCACAACGAGTAATTTATTTGTTTTTTTTTTTTTTTTTTTTTTACGATCTTGGAGAAGGCGCGGTCGAGAGATTTTGTTTCGGGAGGAAATAGAGGATGTTCGGTAAATCGGTTCGATAAGATACGGTTCACGTTTACTCGGGCAAATATCCCTGTATCTTATCTTCGCCGATTTCTTCTGTCCTCTCGATAAAAGGGAGCTTCGATTCCACTCTTCTCGAATTTTTCCTTCCTCTGGAAAAAAAAATGGAGGCCACCCCCTCCAGACGATCGTTAAAACCGTCGGACGAGAGGATTAGTTACGATGCGCGTCGACTGGTTGTTTTTTGCACACCGCGTGCCCCTCGTGACTCGGTTCAACGATCGCTAATGGCGTCTTCTTGGTCTAAGCTCGTTAATTACGCCGCGGATGTTTAATTATGTCGTCTTGTTGGGGGCTCGACCTCTGGGTCACGACGGGGAAAAGGAACAGGGAGGAGGGATTCGTTGAAAATTCTCCTCGTTTTCTTCCAACTTCTTTTTTTCCAAATTCTTAACACAACTCTTGGAACGAGCTTGCTTTATAAGATCGAAAAACCCTTTATTCTCTTTTTTTTTTCTAGTTCTTTCAATTTCGAGCCGCGAGGCTAACGAATAGATTCGGACGAATCGCGAGGAAAATTTCGAGATCCATTTCCAAATTTCTCGGATTCTGGGACGAGACGAATATTCCGATCGAAACGAATAATTCGTTGCATTATTTTTCGAATTCATTTCATTCGTTCGATTGCTCTTGGAATCTCAATTATCCTCAAAAATTTCGAGATCCATTTCCAAATTTCTCGGATTCTGACTGAGACGAATATTCCGATCGTAATAATTCGAATAATTCGTTTCATCATTTTTCGAATTCATTTGATTCGTTCGATTGCTCTTGGAATCTCGATGTCCGATCAAACGGAAGGAATTGCGAAGCGCAGCCATCGATCGGCAAAGCGAAAGATTGATAGAGCGCCGCCGGAAGTGGATGGAACCGGCGGCCTCGAATTAGAAGGCGATTGAAAACTAACGCGGCCGCTTCTTAACCTCGATGCCGGGTTGAGACGGCAGCAATCGAGAGCCTCGATTATTATCCACTTTCGAGCACGCGACCGCCTCTCTCTCTCTTTCTTGTAGGCGGCTCGACAAACGACTTTTCGCATTTTCTTTTCGATATACATTTTAGAAACAGTTTCATCGATATTCTATTAAAGGAATTCGATACACTTTTAATACTCTAAATAAATTGTCAAAATGTGTTTCATCAATCTTATCGATCTCTCTGCGCGTATTTTCATAACTTCTGATTTCTCCTCGTTCTTCTTGCGAAACTCTACTTCCTTTAGAATTTAACGCACCTTTGCACTCGTGTTAAGTAATCTGCTAACAATATTTTCTATCAATCTCTTTCTCGAAAATTGGAAAGTTTAGCCCTAAAGTATCTGTTTAATTTAAGAAGGCTACCAATCAAGTAACGATTGCCTAGATCTACGGCGATATACGAGTGCAATTTTATTTCACGTTCTTATGCATTATATACTCGTATAAAGACACAAACCCTGGTGTATCTAAATTCGGCAAATTTTGTCGAAGGAAAGAGGAAATCTCTTTGTAAAATGTCTCGCGACAGAAAGGAAAGTTTCATAACCTCCGCTCACGTGATATGAATTTTCACGTAGTTTTCGAATATTTATACCACTCGAACGTAAAGTCGCTTCGAGATGCGATTAAAAAATAATATTTAATTCAATTCGATTTTTCCTCCCAGGATCAAGTAATTCTGAAAGGGTTAACCTTTGCACTTCTTAATTCACTCAAATAAAAAATAGTAGCTTTTGATCCTGATATAATAACACGAGGACAAGAATTGCAAAATTGTAAAAGTATACAAAGTGTTTGAAAGAAACGATGTATATTCTACATTTTATTGTTATAACGTAATACATAATTACAATTCTAGGTGACTCTCGTTACCTTAATTGATCGATAAATATGAATTGTTTTAAAAATTACAACGAGTCTAGGCCTACTAGACATTCGAGGAGTAAGAAATACTACGGTCGAATTGAAAAAACCGGCACGATCGTCGCGCCTCCACCAGAGAGAAGCGATAGCGCGTACGGTCGAAGTAACGCCGATAGCTCTCGGCTCTCCGTCGCCTGCCAAGCGTGAAAGAAGCGGAGGAGTATCGCGAAAGAGACGAAGAAGAGCGAGAGAGAGAAAGGGGGCCAAAAAGTGGAGGAGGAGGCCGCCGCTGGAAACTCGATACAGCCGGTCGGATCTCTCGGGTCCCTGGAACGCGATATCCCTGATTCTCGCCGACGCGCATGGATCATACTCCACGGCCCTCTGTTAACCCGTGCTCCGCTAAAAAACCGAGCTCCCCCTAATCGGAATCAAATCTCTATCTGTCGCTGGGCAACCGCGACTTCTTTACGACTCCTCCTCCTCCTCCTCCTCCTCCGCCCTGGAGAGCCCTCTCTCTGCGCAGAGGCGGTGATGACCTTCTCGCGTCGGGGAATGTTTCTTTCTGACTCGCGAGAAAGAGGCTGAGGAAGAGGGGGTGTGTAATCTGCTCGATTATCGGCCTCGATACGTGAAAACGTCGTCGTGTACCTGCACGCAGGGCTTCTTGGTGTTGTAACGGTATATGTTTTGACAGGTGGCGGTGCCCTCGTGGGATATGGATCGGCGCGATACACGTGTATCGAGGGCCCGCTCGAGGTGTCGTTGTTTGAGCAGATTAGAGGGAGGGCAGTTGGAGGTTTTTTTTTTTAACGAGAATTGGGTGTTTCTTTTTCTTTTTGCCGAAGTTGAAAAAGATCGTGAGAATTCTCGAACGTGTTTTTTTCTTCTTTTTGTTTCGACTTGGTTAAAAAAATGCACCGGGTCGCACGCACGAAGGGGTGAAGAATTTCTTCGGTCGAGATCGGAATCGGTGAAAAAATTCCGGGAATCTTTCGAGACCGAGCTGGTCCTTTTCGATCCTGGCAAATATCTTCGGATTATCGTGTATCGTCGATTTTTTCAATTTTTCAAAATTTTCTATCCAACTTCTTCGAAAGTTATTTGGGAAATGTCGAGGGGATCGGTTGCGAAATTATTGCGATCATTCGTCGTCAGTCGCCTTCACTTTATTTTCAAATCCTCGATCTTGATAAATTTGATGAAAGTTCGGGGGATATTGCTTCCAAACTTTTAATCCAAATTAGGGTCTAATCTGAAGGGGATCTGAGTTAGTTTCTAGTAATCTATCGTTCGAACATTGGAAGCTTAACAATCGGTCCCAAGAAGAGGATGTTTCAAGTTATTACTAGTTAGTTTTATACCCGACATTTTCAATTTTTATCCAGAATAAACGAATCTCCTCAAAGAGTCTAACCACTCAAGAGGATGCTCCTCTCCGCGAATGATCGTTTCAAACTATCCGCAGTTTCAAAACCTGTCGAATCCTATATTCCTCTTAACTTTCCAAGACCTCTTTTAATCCATTCCAATCTTGCGATCTAATTATTCTTCAAATTATATTTCAAAAGGAATGCTCCTCTCAATCTCGAATGATCGAGATTGGTTGCACGCTCGAAAATTTCCCAATCCTTCCAAACTTTTGATCCAAATCTTAGAGCCTAACCGCTCTTCGACCAATTATCGCAAGAGGATCGTTTCGAGATTAGTTTCGTACGTTTTCACATCCCCCAAAAAATTGTCGAATCCTTCAGCCAATCATCCCAAAAGGATCCACGATCGAACGATCGTTTCGAGACTAGTTTCACACGTTTTCACACCGCAAAAAGTTGTCGAATCCTTGGAGAACCTTCGCCCTTGACTCTTCAGTCAACCACCCCAAAAATCCTCCTCTCATCGAACGATCATCTCGAGCCTAGTTTCACACGTTTTCACACCCTCGAAAAGATCATCAACTTGGAAAACCTTTCGACCGCCTTCGAATTTCTTCCATCGGAAAGTGCGGCCATTTTTCGCGCAAACGATCCGAGAAGGTTTGTCCTCGAAGAGTGATCGATCGGGGGCGTGAAGAAGAAAAGAAAAAGAAAAAAAATAAACAAGACAGGCGGACGGGATGGATATAATAAACGCGCGCACACACGTACGCAGGGAGGTGGTTGCGGCAGACAGGAAGGAAGCGCAGCCAACCGCGAAGCCGCCACGGGCCTCTCTCGGAGAGGTGCATACGTAATTGCAGGCCACGCGGGAGGCGCTGCTTTTGTAGGTTACCCCTCCTCCCCCTCCCCCTCCCCCTCCTTGGGTGCGTGCCTATCTCGCCCGTTTCATCTCTCGAGTTTTTCCGCCCGCCACCATTTTTCCCTCTCGCTTTCCTCTCCCCTCCAGCTTGCTTAATTGCTCTATTTACCTCCTCCCCCTTCGTGTCCCTCTCCCACATTTGCGATTCACACAATGCGTGAATCGATACCTCGAAGGAGGAGAGAGAGAGAGAGAGAGGATGGAAGGATGTTGAAACGAACGAGGGAAAAATT